AATTTCAAGACATCCATAAATTTTGCTGAGCTTTCCATTCACAATTACAGGAAACTGCAATAAGCTCATATAATGACTACTTTGTTTATTTTATCTTACTGTAAGACAGTTCCATGATACAAATTGTCATTGAAATATAGTTTGAAATAAAAAGTAGCTTAAGAATATGTACATAATTCAGTTTAATGTAAAGGATCATTCAAAACATTTGAATGAAAACTTAATGTTCAAATAAACTGAACATGAGTGTATGGTTTACAGATTGAATTACATAAATGAGCAACTTTTTAAAGTTAACTGTCATATTATTTTGCTGAAGATATGATAGTCGTTTAAATGAAATTTGTTCAATGATTATTCTGGGCAAAGGAGTGTAGGCTGTTAGAAACTGTCCCCATACACACAGGCATTGATATTGATGCACCAGCCAGTGGATCCCCTCTATGAACACCCTAGGCTGTTGCTAGAACCACTGTAGCCTTGATGTCTTTGCCTGGCCAAAATCAACAGCCCTTGAGTGCTGGAAGCTATGTAGTAATAGGTCCAGTACCTTCCAACACATGAAGCACGTTGTATTCTGGACAGTGCAGGCCACTAGGCAGTGTCATCTATCATGACACCCCTTGTTACCATGCCGGGACACTTTCTCAATAGCAGTAAGGTCTCTGTTTGATAGTAGCATTGTGCATTGATGGTGATGTTAAGTACCCTCAAGAAAGTGCTAAAGGGTCATAGATTCAGGTTTGACAAATATGTCAAGGCTGCAGTAGTTTCAGCGTGAAGAGGGAACCCATCTGCTGGTTTCAGTGGGGTTCCTGCCTGACCATCCATGGGGACTGTTTTAACGGCCTCTACTCCTTCACCCAGAACAATCACTGAACACCCCGACATTTGTCACAAACCACTAAATGTAATGTCATAAAATAGTGTCAGAGGTTGATCACAGTTGACTGAATCTAGGCACACAAACCAGCCTCAAGCCCCAACACTGGGCAACTCTAAAGCTTATCTGTATTTTAGTATCATGGAACTGTGCTTCAAATGATATATATTTAACACTATTCTACCCAGAGTGTTTACAGTGGTATGTCATCATTTCCATGAAGCATGCATAACAGTTACAACATATTTTGTGTTTATTTAATACTTATTTGAGATAACATCACAAAACTCTGATGTTTCTATATATAATTAAACCATCCAAAATGAGGCCTGTATTGTAAAATTTAATTCTGAGGTTTTATCTTGTACCCAACAATATTGCAATATATGTACACTTAGCTGCAGTTAGTATTTTAATATTAACAAAATGATAATCTTAGTGGTAGTCTCTTAGAGTTGTAAATATTAATAACAATCCTCTATAATATTTTCTTTTATTATACACTACTATATGAAAATTAGATCTCACTGATTGTGCAAGTATAACTATTAACATTGTTTATAGTAGATGCATATTACTGTATGTCAAAATATCAATACTTTTTTTTTCATATGAAAGTTAGGATTTATAAGTAAAAATTACCTTATATATATATATATAACTTTAAGTCCAAGTCTGTAAAAAGTAGTCATCACACAGCCAGGATTCAGTTCAGGCATGTGGCATTTTAATACTACCTAACATTAATTTTTCATGTTTGTGCACACTCTGACGATGTCACATTGTTTAGAAGGGCATTATTTACATATATTTTCTGTTCTTATAATGTGTGTCAAAGTGATTAAATATTAGTAATGAGAGGATTTCATTTTGCATTTGACTTGTATTTTCAAAAATTAACTGTGCTTTCAAAATAGTCTTTTATAAATACAATGTATAAAGCTTTTATTTCCTGAAATGTGTTATTTTCATGCTTGCATTTCAATATTATTTAAGATTCTAGTATTAAACCTGTTCTATCTTTGACAGTTCATTAATTTGTGATGTTTAATTTTCAACTAATAAAGAAGTTATATTTATTGTATCTACTTTCCTTAAACAGCACCAAATGAAATGTTTATCTCTACTGGGATTTTACATGTCTAATCACAAGAAAAATTGGGTGTGAAGCACTATACAATGCTACAGAAAGGATGGCAGTAAACACTGTAATGCAGCAGGAAATGAAAGGAATATGAATTTAAGTATTTGTTTCCCATTCATTATAAAAAACGAAGTTTGCATGCAACAAATGTAAGCACCCTATAGATAATGATACTGGAAACATAATAATCTTCTTTTGGGATAAACATGTTATTAGTTTTACTTTATTGTGTAAGAAGGTAAAATGCATTTCAACATATTTATTAACATTGTGTGCCAATATTATCAACTCAAATTTCATTCTTTATGGAAAACGTGAGAATATTTTTTCCCCTTTTTCTGCGACTCATAACTTGACAGATAAATTTCTCTTATAAACTTTTGAGCACCCTGCACGGCTATTAAAAGGATTACAGGACCATGACATTTCTTGTAATTTTCTGCTTCTCTAAATAATGTTTAACATGACAATCACAAATCTGAGTTATCCAATTTAGAGAACCTTTGCTCAGTTTCTTAACACATACACTTTCGAGAGAGAGTATTTGAATCCATAAATTCATAAACATTCCTTCCTTTCAACACACTCTTCTCTTCCACTTTCCAACTTGCAGTTTAGTGCTTCTAAAAATAATTTAGGGACACCCTAAGGCTAATTGGATGGTTTCTTCTTTCCACAAAGAGGACTGTGGTATCATGTCCACATTTATTAAACTATCACTTTTGAACCAACTGAATTATTTTCATAAAAATGTATGTACATAATGCCAGTACGCCAGATCTTTGTACTTTTTAAAAATTTTCGCCATACATAATACCAAAATTGCAGCCACACAAAGTTACGAGGTTACATTAATACAGCAATTAATGAGGATCCTAAAATTTTGTCTGATTACAGGTCTTAAAAAATGTGCAGCTTTTGTTAAAGTGATTTTCTGCACAGTACAAAATAACATGGCAGACTTACAAAACCTACATTTTATTTTTTGCTTTGACAATGATAAATACAAATGTACCTTCACAACAAGAATTATAAGTATGGTGATGGTGCAAAACTCTGAAGTTATATCTGACAAATTTATCATGCTTGGAATCTGTACTAGTTAAAATATGCACTGAAATGGAGCATTAAAAGCATTAGTGTTAGTTTGCTAGCAGTGCTTGTTCAGCTATTACCAGTATATATATTTTTTACATGTTGTGTAAGCGTTTTGGTCACTTTTGCCTAATTTTTAAAATAAAAATCATTCTCCCAAGTTTGGCTCTTGAAAGGTAACATTTTCTTAAAAAAAGTTTCTAATATGAACCACTGCATATTTTTTGGGTACCCTCGTGCCAAATTTTCCAAATAAAATTTCTCAAGGGTTCTCTCTCCAACAGGGCCATTTTTAAGTTTTGAACAACCTTTTGCCTACATTTTTAAAACAAAAAATCAGTTGGTGATCTAGGTTTTGACACCATATAGGCTTTTCGGCAGTTGCAAACATTTTGAACAAACACTATTTTCATCTTCAGGGCTGAAGGTTATGAGTCTACATGATGCCAAAACTCAGATCATGCTCACCACCATAAAAACGTCAAATCCCACATAAATGGTATGAGTTTGGGGTTGCTTCCATTAGCATAATGTCCATATCAGAATCCATTCAGTGATTTTTGAGTTGAAACATCATGGATAGACATGATCAGCCTATGCATATTGTGCAAAGAATACATAACACATACAAATTCTTTGTCTTGTGTGGTGTTGCATTACATGACTGAATATTATAACAAATAATGGACAACCTATGTTACAAATGCAAATGGGTGTAAGTAATAAATAATTCCCTTTTCTTATTATGTGATAATCATTAAAGGATACTCATATCTTTAACATATGTGCATTCAAGCTGTTTCTTGTTTACCAAAATACATTTGGGTCCCAAAGTTCTTTTATTTTATGAATGTGTAAATTGGATTCACTCAAATCATTTCACTGAAGTATTACAAAACCTTCCAAAATAAATTAGTTAAACTGTATTCTAGACATTATTTTACTCATATGAAACAAGCAAAAATTCATTATATTTTGCAGTACCTGCAGAGTGGCCAGTAACAAATTCAAATTTGTAATGAAAGATCATACCTTCGAAAGATTTCTTCTGTATCTCGATGTTTGTTATTTCTGCATTAGGTCTTGAAGCATCATATCAAGCTCAGCTGAAATATTCCCACAGAGCTCTATAAGACTACCACATTTCCTTCACAGAGTTGTAAGACAAAGCAACCACTCTTACACTGAACACATGAATAACTTTCAGTGACTGGAAGTGGTGAGATAACACAATTAGCTTTTCATCATTTTTCACATTATACAATGTATAGAATTCACTGAAAACATTTGTACACTTTTTAAGTCCACCTACTTCATCACATTGCAAGGTCAAACACAAACAGTACCAAACAGCAGCACTAGTGAAATCATCAGGAAATCGTTTTGCAACTCACAACTTTCACCAACATTATTGGTGTCCTACCCTTCACAACAATATGAAATTAGTCCAACACTGCAATAAAAGCAATGATTATAAATGGAGGTGTATAGACTCATGAAGCAGAAGCAGGCATAATGTTTGTTGTTCTTTTAGGAAGGACAAGTTGTTTGAACACAAATTCAGTCCTTAAAAAAGCACTTATATTTACATACATCTTGATCTGAGAGTTTCCAAGTAGAAAGAGCATATATGGTTCTGGAAATCCCCAATTGCACCATTATTAACTCATTGGCCCTACTGAGATGTATGTTCAAGAATTTTACATACTTCTGAAAAACCATCATTCCAACTAATATTGTAAAAATTGATGAATCCAAGTTTATGGTGAGGAATAAACTCACACACAGTATTTAGAATAGCACACAAATGAACACATGGTGAAACACTGTAGAGCATCAAGTAAATAATCTTTGGTTTCTCTAAAATTAAAGAATGACTAACAGAAAACAGAATGCTCAAATGTCTTACACACAGTGGATACACTAATACTATGAGTATATATCCCACAAAAATATTTCATACATGTCATAGGACATACTGAACCCTGTTAAAAGATGTCGGATTTGAGAGTTGAACGTATACATTTCATTATATTAAAGTTTATAAACAGTAATCAGATTAAATTTAGTTTTCCATAGTTATAAGGAGAGACAGGATTGTAGAAACAATAGATGATGATTAGGCTTATGATAATAGGTTCATACAGCGTTCTTCTTTTTGCTGTAAAAGAATGTGGCAGCCAAACTAAATTCAGTAGTAGCTGCCTGTGAAATCTGGTAGGGAAATAAGGAGATACCTCCATTCTACATTCTGTATAAAACTTTTTAACTGTGTTATGGCAATGCAGTGAAATGCTGAGAATGTCCGACAGCTTTAAGATATAAATTGGGAGATCGAGCATAAGGTGACTGGATGTGGAGGAAGATATCAGGAAGATGGAATTTAGAGGATATATCAAAATGGATAAAACTTGTTGGGAAGGCCAAGGCCCTACAAAAGGGCTGTAGTGCCACAGAGTAGTAGTAGTAGTAGTTTGTATGTACACTTTAACAGCTGGGAACTCCTCACCCAGTCAATTCTGCATGAAGAAACACATGCAGGTCTTTATGCAAATAACCCATTGCTTTTGTCTGACCTGATGAAAATTTAAATGTGTAAACAAATTTTAGTTAAACTACTATAAAATTTCATGAAAATTTATTCAACTCTGGCCTGGTGAAGCTAACAGGTACATTTTGCAATACTTACTTGGAAACATGACTTTAAAATGAGGGTATGACTTTTATCCCCATGGTATTATGCATGGAATGTTTTTAAATTTAATTAAAATATTGACCTGATATATAAATATCCTAACTTAGCTTAACAAATCAGATAACTAACAAAGACCAATAAATAACGTTTTCACCAGGGACTCCACAGACATAACATAATTGTTTTATTTTCCTGATGAAAATCATGTTACTTCCAACACTCACACTGAGGACTGCCAATCCCATTCACCCTCCCTTAAATAATTCATCCATGCCTATTTCTTTCATCAGTGAACACAAATGTTGTTTCTTTGGGCAGTAAAGCTATGTGGGGATGAAGGTAAACACCAACATTTTGGAGGAACATACCGTCTTCATCTTCACATCAGAAATGTTGTTGGTATCTACCTGCAAGTCTACATGGCATTATTACTCAGAAGACCAAAATCAACATCTTAACTGCCATAAGAACCTCAAATCTCACAAATCAACAGCCTCTCTTTACTAAGGACTGAGTCAATTAATGCACACCTGAACAAATTGTCCCTTCAGAACCTACACAAGTTGTCCACACAACATATTGCAGGAGAATACTTCTTCCTGTTCATAAATTACCTGCAACAACTGGACATGACAGTGTGGAGTCACTCAGCATTTCTACTTGATGAAGATTTCTATTTAGTGTGTGTGCACGTGCGTGTGCACGCACATGTACACAACACATACAAAGGGCATACATGTATATAGTGAACTGGCCATTCTTATCAAATTTATGTAAATTAACTAACATCCAGAATAAGTCCAGTCATAAAAACTATACTGCTGGTAAAAGCAATAGATTGATGAATACAGTGGTTCACAACATGCTGCATTGTTAGAAAATGTAATTATCTTCGAATCATATGCTGCTACAATGGTTTTATAAATTTTTATGTTATTTTAACACACTGTTCATTTTAAATAAAATGTAATAGCACAGAGTAACACTTGTACAATATTAAAATGTTGTGTTCAACAGTGAAGTGCCATACATTAAAGGGTAAGTATTGGCAGTACTGTACATTTTGATATCAGAAATGAACTGGAAGTCATAATGCTCCATACTGGCCACTGAAGTTGAGAAATCTGGATATCCTTCTTGCTGCTGTCAATAAAGAACTTTATTTCTACATCAAACTGCAAGTCTCTTTCCTTCACAAAATATACAGTAACACTTCATGTACAGCCATTTTTCATTTAAAATACAAAATATCATACAAATCACAAACTCAGGTGGATTTTAAATGCTACATATTACCTTCCTATCTGTACATCATGACATCAGGACTCTGGTACATGCACATATATGCGTCACACAGTAAACGCTTGGCATGTTCTGGCAGCTGACGATCATCTTTCATCTCACGGAGAGATTGGGCCCCATCATCAGACAACCAATATGGAAGGTTTGGACATGATACCATTTCAGGAATATTGTAGCCATTCTGCTCACCTGAAATATTTGAATTATGCAATCAGATTATGAAGATTCAGCATCACAGACAACCCAAAAACATAAAACTGACATAAGAATAAAGAATGTAACATGGGTAGGCAACAGAATACATGTATCATGTGAACTGCAAGCAAAAACAAGACCACATATCTTTCATGGTATAAATACTGACAGCTGATTAAGAGTAATGCTTAGCTTACCCAACTGATGGGTTTAAAAATTAAGTGATGAACACAAATTATGAAGCTCCCTTTTACATAATATTCTCCATCCTCCAATTATTTCCTTTTTCTTATGTTCAAAAATTCTCTCTTCACTCTGCTCTCTAACATTACAATTATACCAATACTGAAAACAGTTCATATGTGTGGTTAAGCAGTGCAAGCATTTTCATAATTCTAGACTCAAAGATTTAATTCTTCAATTGGAAATGACTTAGAAAGAGAAAATATGTCTATTTGAAAGTTATTACATACCCACATAAATATAAACAGAAACCTGAATGTGGACAAAAACAGATATTTGCAAAAAGATTTTTAAAAACAGAAGGAAAACCAAAAGAGATAAGATATAAAAAAGATAGAATCTGAAGTTAGACACCTTGGCAGTTAAACTAACAATAATATAATGACATGGTCTGAACACATTTAAAGAATGAACAAAGAAAATTCAAAGACAGTTTTGAACATGAAAGAAAAAAATAAAATGCCAATGAGAGAGACCAAAACCAAGATGTGAAAAAAAAGGGCTAGAAACTGAGAAATAGATGTAGGAGGACAAAGATACATAGAAAGCTTAGTTGTCACATGACCTGTAAAAAATAAATGTCTTATGAAAAAGAATGTTAATTAATTTAGAAATTAAAGCTTCTCAATTTGGCTTCAACTTTTCCTTACTATGATTATTTTACATATCTGTAGTTACACAGGTTTACTTATCACATTGTCCATAACAGATTTCAAATAAGTTCAATAAATACATTTTAATGCTGTCCACCAATATGAAATTTTAATTAAGTCTGTTTGATCAAGCAGAAGTCTTTCTCTGTATAGACACAGGTATTAAAATAGATGCTTTACTTTGAACATTAAACTCAAATCCAGTCCAAACAATAACAATTCATTCAACTTAAAACTATTCACACATCCTACCTTCATGCACAATATACCTTAAACTGAACAGATATAGAAGGAAAAAGTAAGCTACCTTCTATTTAAACTTATTCAAGTGATTTTAATATGATGGTGAATTCCTCACACTTCTTTTTGTATGGATTGAAACACATTTTCCATACCTTTTCTATCAGCCATAGAATCAAAAAAACACCAAGGTGCATCAGAGCCACTGCCACATTTGACAAAGGCCACATAATGTGAGGTTTCAATGCACACAACAGCAAACAATTCCATGAACAACCGAGGAACTGGACAGTGGTCCTGCAGTATGGAGAATTCAATGGGTACAGAGAGAGGACGCCATCCATGACTACTACGCCGCTGATGGCTATGAACCTGCAACATAAGACAAATATCATTCCATACATTTACCAATCCTGGAAGAACTGGTTTATGTAATGTCATTCATAATATTTGGCATTTTCAATAATAATAATAATACCAAAAAATGTAAAGAACAAAGAAAAGTCATACTGGTTTCAATATTAAGGTAGAATCTGATAAAGCTGTGTATATGAGCATGGCATTCATTACTGAAGAGCACTGCACATCACAAATCACAACCTGAAATTTAATTAAACAGAGAAGACGTCCTTCATTTTACTTCAGTGATAATTACTTGGCCAAACTGACAATTTACTTCTGGCTTATAAATTTCAGTTTCTTACTAAAGTGATTTTTAAAATGGAAAACCTGAAAATTCCCACTTTGTCAAACACATTTTCAAAATAATGTTTCATAAATACAATTGATAACAAAGTAGATCAGGTATTACTTTCTGAAAATCATCATCTGTTCAGTTCAATAGCTGTCTATCATTCCATCAGTTTGCCCATAAGGCTCTTTAAGTGAAAAATGCTTTACAAATCCATCACTGATTTACAAATTACAGTGAAACCTCGATGCATCGTTTTCGGCGGGGGTGGGAAATAAAAACGATGAATGCGGGAAACCGATAGATGCGGGAAAGCATTAAATTTTTTAAAAAAAACAATGTTTCTCTTTCAAAGTTACTTCTTTTTACCAAAAAAGTCTTAAATGGGCAACTGGTTTGTCGAAACTTTACGTTTTAGACCAAACAGAACACTTTCCACGTTCAAAATGTTTTCCTCGTCACATTCACTAATATTAAGCGCGTAAAAGAACGACTTCACTTTCGCCAATGCAGCGTGTGCTTCGGCAAAACTCGGCAATGCTTAGGGCTCGCATTCGTCGTCTTCCTCTTCCTCACCACTCCAACCCCCTTTGCGGACAATAACAGGAAGAATGGAAATACTATTACTGCCGAACTCAACGAAACGTAGCTGTAGAAG